GTTAGACTCCCTGCTTAATTTTATTGCACTGAGAATGTTATGGGGTATTTTAGGTACTAATAGTACCCCCTCTATTTTCCCTAGGCCGGGTAATTCTACATTTCCTTTTCCGACAACTTGAACTTCGTCTTGGTTTGCTACTTTAATTAAAAATTTATCTTCAATGAAAGAAGATAATATTTTCTTATCATGTGTTGTATGATTTGTTGCTCCGGAATCAATGAGCCAAGCACTGTCTTTTGTGTCTTGATTTTTGATTTTAGTGTGTTTATCTATTCCATACAATGACCCAGACTTCCTGTCCCTTGAGCTGTCTCTGCCCCCTCTATGTTCTCTAAAGTTTGGTGAATTTCTGTGTCTATATCTGTCAATGGATGATTGTCTATCATGATATCTGTTTCTTGTGTCATGTCTTTGTCTCTCTCTAGGAAGTTTTGGGCAGTCTCTTCTGTAATGTTCTTTAGACCCACAGTTATAACACTCTATTGTGTCCTGGTGCCTGCCTTGGAATGCTACTCTTTTGACTTGTCTATGCTCTTTATGTATATTTTAGCAGCTTTTTCTCAAATTATCCTCAGCAATTAGTCTGTTTGATAAACTCTCTATAGATAGATAGCCTAAGTTAATTGTATCTAGATGTGATATGAAGTTGTCCCATGATGAGTCTAATGAATTAATAATGACGCTTTTCATTGTCTGGTCAGATATTATTTCTCCTCTTAAATGTAGTTCTGCTCTAGTAGTGTTTAGTGATAATAGATGTTCACTTATAATAGTTCCAGATTTTATCCTGGCTGAGAAAAAGTTTTTAGACATTCTAGTTGTGGTTGCTACACTCTCACTATGAAACAGTTTAAACATACAATGAATTATTTCTGAAACAGTTAAGTTATGCTTAATACTATGATAAATAGCAGGTGAGTTACTGGAGATTAGTAAATAAAATGCTCTGTGATGTAGGCAGTCCAATTTTAGTGTCCATGGTTTTTTAGGAGGGTTAGTTATGAAAAATAATAAATTTTCTTTTAAAAAAACAACCTGGAGTTGTTGACTCCATTCCTGTAAATTAACACCGGCTATCCTTAATTTGGGAAAATCACTAGGCAAATTTCCAATGTTATTTGTTGCATTACTTACAGCTGGTGGCTGTCCATGGTCCTGTATATGCTGATAATTGCAGAATGGTGTAGGAATACTCGCGGCTAGTCTGAACGGTTCTTTCTGCTCTTTACTGCTTCTATGTTCGTCTGGATGTATTTGTGCGTGCGCATAGATCATTTTGTTCCTGAAGCTGTCGGGGAAGGGCCTCGCCACTGTAGCTCCCTCGTAGTGGTCTTCCTCTGAAGATTCGCTTTCTGGTTCGGCTTTGGGTGTCCAGATGTGAAGCGGGGCTTGTCCTTTTTCTTTGTAATCGTCCTGGCTGAGGTCTCTGGCTCCCGGAAGTGTCTGTGGTGTGGGTGAGTACTTGCATGATCCTCTGGGTTCAGGTGTTAGTGGCCTCGTCGGTCGGATCGGAGTTGATTTTAATCGATGCTGGGACGTTTGTTTGTTTGCTTCTGTATCTTCTTGTTTAGAGCTTACAGTTTGTCTTTTCTTTGTTATTTGATTGGCTGTCTTTGGCGTTTTTGGTGGTTCTTTTGAAATTTTTAAATTCGGACCGAAGGCTGCGAAAAGTGTTTTCATAGCTGTTTCGATTTGTAGTTCAGTTGGTGTCTCTTCGGTGTCTGTGTCTGATTCTTCTGATCAGTAGAATTTTTCTTTTATATTTTTCTTGCTGTGTAGAGTTTTTCGCGCCGGCCATTTTGAACTCTGCTTTCTGATTGGTTCTGGGTCAGTCATTTTGGCGGGCTGACAAATCAAAGATGGCTGCCATTTGAAATTTTGCGTGGGATCACTAGCCTTTGCCTTAGTCATATTTTCGTCTATGTGTAAGTCGCTTACCAGTTCGTGGTCTTTTGGCTCTGATGTGTTGGTGTAGTTTTCTCTCGCTGCTCCGCTATCCTTCATGATGTCTTGGAGGTTCGCGATGAGATTTTTGTCGTCTTTTTGGCTCTTTAGTAGTCTTAGTATTTCTAATCTAAGTGTGTTGCTTTCTGTCTCGCTTGCTTCTTGGTCGCTGGATTCATCGATTACCTCTTCGTCGTCTGTAGTGAGGTTTTCGGGTTCTTTTGTCATTTTCATTGTAATTTCACTGATCATTTCTTGATCTGTTTCCATTTCTTTGGTGTGTGCCCTGGTGTTGGGTCTTTCCTTTTTGTTTCTGGAGTTTTCTTTCTTTGGCATGTCTGCTTTTTATTGAGTCATCAAACCATCCTCTGCTACCATATTGTTGCCATAATTCGAGGATCAGACTCAATAATATGCTCAGGCTTGTTTTATTCAATCAGAAGATATTTTATTTATAGATGTCATTCTTCATTCACAGAGTGATTGAAGGAAGAAGACAGAAGGAGAGATTTACTCCACCTTTTATATCAAGGAGGCGGGATTAAAGGTAGGGAGTGGTTTGGGAATGATACATTCAGAAGAGGAGAAAGGATTAACCCTAGTCATCCCAAGACATACTTTCTCATTTGGTATGAGTGAGGCATTTATACATGACAAGGTCTCGAAAGAATTGGGGGTGGTGGGGGGAATGAGTGTCAGCTGCTGCTGAATTCCAGGGTGGAATAATGGGGGGGGAGAGACGGGAGGGGCAGCTTGCTTGATCTTCCCGGAGGACACGCGAGAAAGGAGGGGATCTGGAGGGATTCCCCCTCTCTGGCTCGGGGAGGCGGGCAGGGACCCTCAGAGAGAGAGAGTGGGGGGTCCCTTAAGTCTCCCGGCCCCCTCCTGTCCCTTTCCTTCTGAGCGATGGGAGCTGCTTCCTCTCCCTCCGTGCTCCGGGGGATCTCCAGAAGGGCCTCCTCCTGCGCCCTCCTGTTCCCCCAAAAGTCCTCGCCCAAAGGTCTCGCCAACCGCCGGCGTTCATCAAAGGCAGCAGCAGCCGCCAAGCCCGGTGGGTGAGCAATGCTATTCGCGGGCATTGCCGAATGGCCGGAGGGAGATGCCCGGGACGGTCTGGACCGGGAGGAACCGGCTCCCCTCACCCCGAAGCAAAGGCCGGTTCCAGGCCCCCTGTGCCCCGAGGGCTGCCGCCTTCAGCATCCCCCTTAAGTCAGAAGAAGCCCCACCTGGCCCAGGTGTTGCCCTCACTAGCTGAGCCTTCCCCATCCTCCCCCGGCAACTGCCCAGCAAAGAGACGGTCGAACTGGGGGCTCCAGGAGTTCCTGGGCCTGGGCGCAGCCGCTGAGAAAGGCCGAGGGAGAAAGGGGCCTTTGGGGGGGGTTGGTCTTCGGCTGACTCTCCGCTGGCTGCTCAGCAGGCAGCTGCCAGGCAGGAGCACCGCCCTAGGAGCGCCGGCTTGGGGAAGCCACTATGGGCGGAGGGGGAAGAAAGTGGGGGGCTTTCCAGATGGGGGGAGGGGCAGAATTGAGACAGCTGAATCTATAGCCGATGAAAAGCTCTTCTGCTCTTCTGGCCTTACCGGGATCGAGGCAAGGAAAAGGAAAGGGGGGGGATACTGAGATCTCCCCCCTCCCACGCAAGAGATGGTTGGCTCCCCACCCCTCGTCTCCCCTTCCAGGAGCCCCCAACCCTCCCCGCGCCGGGGGGGTGGCCCTGCCCGACCTGGGCGTCAGGGAGAGGGGCAGGACAGGGGTTTGAGTGACAGCTGCCTGTTCCAAATGACAGGTTTTGCTTTCTTCTGAACACTAAGAAGATTCCCTAAATTAAGAGTTCCTTCTGAGCTAACCTGCTTAACCAGGGTTCCCATGCAGCCAGGCTGGGCTCCCCCAGTTGAGGTGCCCTACAAACAGGCAGGAGGTCCTGAGTCCAGAGTGGGATGGAAGCCCCGAAGTTGCCTTTGACCTGGGAGCCTCTGGATGGAGCTTGGCGCTGGGTCCTCTGGAAATTAGTCACCCTTCAGGTCTCTCGATTGTCCTCAGTAAGAAACGTTTGGGGGAGGCTGGGTATCATCCTCCTTCGAGTGTATGTTTCTTAGGCTTCACATTTGCATTTTGGTTTAATTTGCTTGAATTAATAATAAAGCTTAAAATCTCTTTATTCACTAGTGAATATGATAGGAGAGGAGGAGGAGGAGGAAGAAAGGAGAATGGAAAGGAAAGGAAAGGAAAGGATAGGATAGGATAGGATAGGATAGGATAGAATAGAATTTGAAAGGGACCTTGGAGGTCCTCAAGACCAACCCTCTGTTCAAGCCGGAGATGCCAAAGGATTCCAGAGAAAGGCTTGTCCAATCTCTTCTTGAAAACCTCCCTCAATGGAGCAGCCACAACTTCTGGGGTGCAAACTCTTCCCCTGATTCTTAGTTCTCCCTGTCAGGAAATCTCTCCTGACTTCTAGGTTGCATTTCTCTTCGCTGGGCTTCCACCCGTTGCTTCTCTTCCTGCCTTCAGGGGCTCCGGAGGATGAATGGAGCCCCTCTTCTCCGTGAGAGCCACCCAAGCATTGGGCGATGCTGTCCCATCCCCTGCAGCCCTTCCCTTCCTTAGACCGGACATTCCCCGTCCCTTCATCCGTCATCCCCTGGTTCAGCCTCCAGACCCCCCACCCTCTTTCTTGCTCTGCTCTGCCCACGGAGGCCGAGGGGGTTTTGGGTTGGGGGAAGAGGTGCAGGCTTCCCTTGCCTCCCCGATCCTGCATCCAGCCTGGGAGGAAACCCATCCAACCCCCACCCCCACCCCCGTCTTTCCTCGCCTGCTGCGCTCCTCCTGCCCCCTGCTGGCTGAAAAGCGAATGGAGGGAGGGGCAAGGGGAGCTGTGCCCAAGGCCAGAAACCCCCCTTTCCCCCTCTGCCTTTTTCAACGGCGGCTGGGCTCCCGAAACCCCCCCCCCTCCGATCTCACAGTCGGGTTTATTAGGAAGTTGCAGGTGGGGGAGGGGTGATTGGGACAACTGGGCTGTTCTTCAGTCCCACAGCTGTAGAGAGGAACATCTGGAGAAGGAGGGGCTTCCTCTGCCTTGGGGGAGGAGAGAAAAGATGCAGCTGCCCAGATTCAGGGCCCCCAAAATCCTCCTTTTGTTCGAGTTGAGGCGGACCCAGTTCCTCCCTGTCCAGACCTTCCGGCTCTGGGGATCTGCAGAGGCCCCTTCAGTCCCAGGAGACCCTCCCTTCCTCGGTCGTCCCACTGGATCCCTTCCTCTTCAACTGTGGCAGGGACCTCGATCTGGCCGGGGATGATTGACAGCTCCTGGGTACTTTGGGTTGGTTTTGAGGTTGGCTGTCTGGGTGGGGTTTGCTCTGCTGGGTAAGAGCTGCGTAAGGGAACGTCACAAATACTCTGTGGACACCTGGTGGCAGGTGAGGAGGGAGGAAAAGACGGGAGGGAGAGGGGGAAGAGGGGGGAAAAGGGGGAGGGAAATCAACAGAGCCCAGACAGCTGCACGGGGTCCCTTCTGAAGAGAGCGGCCTTCGGATTGCTTTGATCTTGGAAGTTTTGAGCAAGTCAGGCTGATTCTTCTTCAGGTGTTTTACTTAGAAAACCATCCAAAGACAAGGAAAGGGGATTGGGGGTTTCCTCCCCTCCCCTCCCCTCCCCCTCCCTTCCCTCCTTCTCTTTCAATCCCTCTTTTCCTTCTCGTTTCCCGCAGATTCCTCCTCCTCCCGGAGGGCCTGGATGAGGCCGTTGGACAGGAGGCTAAATAGAAACCCCACCTTCCCTTTGTTGGTTTAGCGGAGAGAGAGACGGACGCTCAACCTAGTCTCAGACACGGATGGACGGATGGACAGTAAGGTGCTTCCCCGCCTCCCCCTCGCCCTGCCCAAAGACAGAGCCGTGGCGGCCGCCCCTTGCCCGCCCCGCCCTCTTGCACCCGGGGAAAGTGGGAACAGGGCACCGCAGCCCCTCCGCTGCCCGAACCCCTGGCTGTCCTGTGGGGAGCCTCCCCCCGCCTTTCCCCCCTCCCCTCCCCTCCCCCCCCTTGAGGTCTGGAAACCTTTCTTTGCACCGTCCCACCAAACCACCAACTCCTCCGATCAGGGCTCTGAAGGGGGGGGGAACCAGGGGCAGGGAGGGGGCTTTTCAGTCCTGGGGGGGGAGGGCCTCGGCTGCCCCTCCAGGGCTTTCCCAGCTGCCAGGCAGGAGGGGCGCCGGGGTGGGACGGAGGGCGGAGGAGGGACTGAGGGGGCGGGAGGGGCAGAGGGAGCCCCCTTTGCTGGAATTCAAGTAAAAAAAAGGGGGGGGATTTTCTCTCTCTCACACAGCCACGGCCACCAGAAGACCCCCCCCTTTCCGAGAGCCTCCACCTGTGCAGCTGCTGCTGCTCCTGCCTCGCCTGTCCTGGAGTGGAGCCGGAGCCCCCCCTCCCCCCCTCCCTCCCTGCCCGCCCGACGGCTGCAACCTGGCCCGGAGTCCGGCGGTGGCAGCTCCTCTCCTCCCGAGACGCCCCCGCCGCCGCCCCCGCCCGCCCGCCTGGCAGAGTCTGCGGGGAGGGAGGGAGGCTTCCCGGGGGGCTCCGAGCCCCAGAGGCCGCCCGGAGCTTCTCCTGCCCTCAGTTCCGCGGGCCGCTCTCCTCGGCTGGGCCGCCGCAGCTTCTGGAGACGGAGCCCCGACGTGGCTGGGAGGGAAGCAGCGCAGGGAGACCCGCCAATCACCCACGCAGCGTGGCTGGGAGGAAGCCCGTCCAGGCACTCGCCCGCCCGCCCGCCCGCCCGCTGCCCTCCGACCGGCTCCTGAGGCGGCTTCTGCGGGGACGAGGCGGCGGGAGGGGAGGGACTCGGGCAGATCGCCTGCTGGGGGTGGCGCTGCAGGACAGGGGCTTGAGTGACAGCTGTCTGTCTGGGCGAGGCAAGGGGGGAGCCAGGAGGCGCAGGGGCAGGAGGGGCCTTGGGTGCTGGGGGGGGGAGAAGGGGGGCCAGGAGCGCCCGGGGAGGGTGCAGAGAAGCAAAGGCAGCCGAGGGACTTTTCTCCCCTCACTAAAGTTTTCAAAGCAGCTTTAGAATAGAATCCAAATGGGCGCCTTTGAGACAATCACGGGGAGATTGGGAGTTCTAGCTCTGCCTTAGGCAGGAAAGCCACTTGGGGGAGTTTGGGCCAAGGTCCAGGAGGCTCTGAGTTCTAATCTTCCCACAGGCATGAAATCTTCCTGAGTGACTTTGGGCCAATCCCCAGGAGGCTCTTGAGTTCCAGTCCCACCTTAGTGCTTTTTGATTGCAGGTGTAAAAGTTGGAAATATTTTCTCAGATATATGTGGGAGACCAGAATTGGGGATTCCTAGAGTGTGAGATGGCCGAGTGTCCAAAACTGTGTGGTTTGATGGAGGAAAGTGAAATTGTGGGAAGATGCCTTTTCCATGTTGGCCAAAGCCATAAGCCTCTCTGCCTTCTGCTTGTGGGAGAACCAGAGTGTTCATTGTGGATCTTAGACTGAGCTTCAAAGGGATCCTATTTGCAATTAGGAGCCATTCTGAAACATAAAAATTGATGACCAATTCATCAGCAATCTGTGTGGTTGGAGAGCAGAACAGCTTCCATGGGTGCCTCTCCCTAGAAACCAGGAAGTCCCCCCACTCTATTCACCCCCTTCTTGGACCTGGATGAATATTATGCAGCATTGAAGGTTTGTGACCTGATCAGTGATGCAGGATCCCCTCAACCTCCTCCTGGGCAGAGTCTCCAGCTCCCCTTTCTCTGGGCATCTTCTCCAGCCCTTCCCAGACAAGACAAGCTTGGAAGATGAGCAGAGAAAAAGCTTTAGGTAGAAATTGTAGAGTGGAAAATTAAAGGGCCTGAAAACTGCTATTTTATTTCTCTGGTGGAGGAAAGTTAAAAACACAGTGGAAATTTCTTTATACACTTTATTCTTTTATTTATTTTATTTATTTTTATTTTGGTGTGAAGTATACACCAAGATAAAAACCCCAAACTGAAATCCCAGACAGCAATTCTGCTGAATATTTTCTGCAAAGGAGGTTTTAATCAGGAAATCTCTCTCTCTCTCAGGCACACTTTTAGATGCTGTCAGGAGGAACAAGGGCCCAAATTATTTTTTATAAAGTGTCACATTCAATAGCTGTTGCTGATTTAGTGAGCTGAAAGGAAAGGGAACTACAAGAATTCCAGTCATTCAACAGTTTCCCATTCTGAAACACATAAATATGATTTTCTTTGATTGCTGCATACTATCTAAATGTAAAGAATATCTCCTTTCAAATAAAATAAACCTTTAACAATTCTTCCAGTATCATAATGGTGTTATATCTCATGTTTTTACATTTGTTCTGCCCGTAAGATGTTCCTTTGTGTTGAGGTCTGGCCTCAGAAGGATAATGTAGCACTTGGGGATGAAGATGCAGCCCAGCAGACCAGCACTGGAGGCCAGGATGGAGAAGACCTGCACAGCCACCATGGATTTTCCTTTGGTGCTCAGGTAGGTGGGCACAAAAGTCACCCAGACACTGCAGAAGACCAGCATGCTGAAGGTGATCAGCTTGGCTTCGTTGAAGGCCCCAGGCAGATTCCTGGCCAGGAAAGCCACCGTGAAGCAGATGGCAGCCAGGAAGCCCATGTAGCTGAGGGTGACGTAGAACATGACAACGGCCCCTTCGTTGCATTGCAGGATGATCTCTCCAGGCTGGGAGTGGAGGTCAGAGTCAGGGAAGGGGGCAGAAACTCCCATCCAGGTGGAGCAGATGATAATTTGGACAGCAGAAGAACAAAGAATGATGGAGTTGGCCAAGCTCTTCCCCAACCATCTCTTCACTCGGTTTCCTGGTTTTGTGGCCAGGAAAGCCAGCACCACCGTGATGGTTTTGGCCAAGAGAGAAGAAACGGCAACTGAGAAGATGATGCTGAAAACTGTCTGTCGGAGAAGGCAGGTGGCTTTCCTTGGTTGACCAATGAAGAGAAGAGGAGACAAGAAGCAAAGCAGGAGGGAGACCAGGAGGATGTAGGAGAGGTCCCGGTTGTTGGCTTTGACAAGGGGAGTTTCTCGGTATTTCATGAAGATGATTAAAACAAGGCCTGTGGTTAGGAAGAAGAATAGGGCAAAAGAGACCAGGATGATGCCCAGAAGTTCTTCATAAGACAGGAAAGTTATAACTTTGGGGATACATTGGACTCTGTCCTCATTTGGATATTTATCATCTGGACACTTGGTGCATTTTTCTGTATCTGAGAAAAGGAAAAAGCAATATTTCTTTTAATATACTGGTTTTTTTTACATGTCAAGAAATACCTTTTTTGGATGACAGCTGTTACCATGGGCATTTTCCAAGAAGTATTTCCTAGCTATTTCATTAAAAAGAGCAAAAGAAGGATATTTTTTTAAAAATGTAGCTAGGTATATGAAGTTGAGGGAGGTTCTAGGATGTTAATTATTTCCTGTGTAATGTGTAGAATCTTCATAGGAACCTACATTATTAGAGGTTAATAATGAATCATAAAATCATTTTAGGCAAACATCCTGAGTCCTGCCCCATGGCAGTTAATATCCTGGACTTGGAGGATACCTACAGTATCCTGTAACATCTGGAAGCAACCTGGAATTAAGGAGAAACTTCCTATCAGTGAGAGCAATTAGCCAGTGGAACAGCTGGCCTCCAGAAGTTGTGTGTGCTTCAACATTGGAGGTTTTTAAGAAGAGACTGGAAGTCCCTTGTCTGAAATGGTATAGAGTCTCATACTTGAGCAGGGGGTGGACTAGAAGACCTCCAAGGTCCCTTCCAGATCTCTTCTGATTGATTGATTGATTGATTGATTGATTGATTGATCTACATGACTGGCAGAATATTTGTGTAATGAGTTCCCCCCATAACTATCCACAGCACCAGATTATGGACCAGTGACACCTTCTCAGTGATCCTCAAGGGGAGGATCCAATATACAGTGGATTGCACGGTCTTTCAGAAGGTGGACCTAAAATAATTCATCAAGTTGCAAAGAACTCAGATGTTCCTAGAAAGGTGAACTTAGTAGCACATATCCAAACTAAAAAGCAGAAGAGATATTTCCTCTGTTGTTAGTAAAGCTTGCCCAGTCGGCCATCCCCTCCTCCCATCTCTTCCCAGCCCCTCCTTCCAAGTCTTTTTGATTTACTTCCTTTTAGATGAGAAATTGTGCAGGTTAAAAATAAAAAAACCCAGGTGAGCTTCAATCTGTCTTTCAACTTGCACTTTCATGAAAATGTTCTGGATGGATCCAGTTCCACAAAGCCTCCCGTTTTCCTCAGTGTGACCCACCTTCCTGAGTGGAGAAGGTCCCCTCCGGACAAGGAACGCAGTCATAGCAGCAAACTGGCTCTCCTTCTCGAGCCCTCTTGACAAATCCAGGATGACAACTTTCCACACATTTGGACTGAGGCAGGGACTGAGCAGAAAAACAAGGAATGCCAAAGAAAATATGTTAGGACTCTCCGTCCATGGAAAATGGAGGTAGAAATGGATGGAGACAAGTAGCCTCTGGTCTTCACTGAGGTAAATATGAAACCTCTGACTACTTCTAAACAGATGCAGGAGGTATAATAACTGGCAGATTCTTCATTTAGTTCCTCCCTTTTTTTTTTTGGAATTAAACATTACAATGAAGTAATTTTCTACTTAATAAAGTCAAGAGGGTTGGAATTGAAAAAAGATTTAAATACGATGATATATTCATCTTAAAACTGAGAACAAAGTTTACTGTAAAAGATTTAGGAAATTTTATTCTATTAGGTTTTTTTAATATGAAATTAAACTGTGATGAAGAAAGAAACCTCTGACCAGTAAGATCTTGAAAGGTTTCCCTAAAACATGGCAAAGCCACTCCACTTAGGTCCCGTCTGTTGAAGAGCTTCCATGAGTTGACACCACCTGGCATGGGAGGCCAACCACCATGGAGACTCTAGGCTTTGCCCACTTGAAATGGGACCTCAGGCTTTGGAAAACAGAGAAAAGGCAGCAAAATTTCTCTCACCTTATTGAGCAACTTTAGCTGTGAAAGAGCATCTTGTTTGATAGTAAGTCTCTGTCTTTTAAAATATGCCAGAGTCTCTCTCCTGGGATCCTCCTTGAGGAGAACCAAGAAGCCGTCAATGGCCAGATCTGCTTTTATCTCTCCATTTTGGTCCAAATACAGTTTCCTCTCAGAAATATTCCAAAAATCATTCTTCTCCAGAAAGGGATGAAACTAAAATGGGAACATCCAGGAATTTGAAAAACAGAGAACTTTGTTTCTTATCCCACATTGAATCTTTCTTCTACAATTGTCTAATCTCCAAATATGCTTAATTGGGATATAAATACTGTCATCATCTTTATAAGTGAATGAAAAAGTTTGAGAAAAAATTGTCAATCATATACTGACAAAATATAGAGAAAATATAATTGACACAATTGGTCAAATATAGGGAACATTCTAGAGCAGATGACAAATAAAATGAATAGAGAAAGAAAAAAGATGAGTCATAAACGCTTTGAAAACAAGAGGTTGATTCCCAGAAAGCATGGATTGATCCAGAAGAAAGTTGTCAGGCTAATCTTCTCCCTGGTCATCCTGACGGAAAACACCTCCAGATGTGCTAATTTTATTTAATTTTAATGTGAAATTAACAAAATTTTGCAGATCTGAAAGAACAAATCTCCCACCAACTCTTTTCTCAGCCTGAAAATTTAGCCAGGATCCTTTCTGAGTTTCTTTCTCTCCCATTCTGCAGCTGCAGGATTCTCCCCTCTTCTCTGATCCTTCCCTAGGCAGCCTCTCTTCCCCTCATCCCAAAAGTCATTCTCACACATCATCACACTTCCTAAATAGATTATGGGAACTCTGGTGACATCACTGGACTTCAGTAAAGGACTCTGTAAGGTCCAGCCTCTCCTCCTCATTCAGGAAAGTACAGACTCTTGAAACTTGGCCTTTCAAAAGGAACCTTTTATTGGGAAGGAGTGGTGGAAGGACGGAATCAAAGGAGGCTCTGAGGGCCCTCAGGCAATACAGTTAGAATAAAGGAAAGTAGAAACCCTCCCAACAGTCCAGTGGGGATTCAGCCAATCCGCAGGTGTGAAGATGTTATTGTACCTGCGGCTCTGAGAAAGTGATAAGGGAACTTTCCCAGGGTCATCTTCCGACACATGGCCCTCCCTCCCCTTACACTCCCCAAAAGGTGAGAAAATGCCAGGCCGCTTAGGCACCAGGCTAAAGGTTATAAATCAATGAGCTGCAGGTTACAAGATACATGGGGGGAGGAAAGGGGTAGAAGGTAAAGTACAAATGTAATCTGGGGTCCCCTCCTTCCCCCAAAGAATGGCAGATTCACAGATCTGACAGACTCACAAACAATTGTGTGATGTGATTAGAAACCTGAGGGGCAGATGGTATGATAACTAAGTAGATAAAAACTGTCTTCAAAATGATACACGATAATTTTTAACCCTTTTTTATCTTTCCTATGAAACCTGAAGGTGATGCATAACAATTTGCCATTTCCCATCATTTTTCTATGTTGTCCTTAATACAGTAATTAATACGATCTTAGAATAAGCTAATTTGATGTGATTTAAAGAATATAAAGTCTTTCAACTTACAAGCCTTATTTGAAACTTCATTTAACAATGGTTTTAAATCAACTTAAAGATGATAATCAGAAGCAAGCAACAATTGTTGAATCGGATGGATTGGATGGATGGATGGACTGGAACTGAATTTGCTGCTGGCATCCCTGAAGGAGGAGTCTGGTTTGAAGGCAGGCTGCTTGGAGATGGCTGGAGAGGCCATGGACCCTGAAGACTCAAAGTGGGCAGAACGGATGACTGAAGAAATGGATTCTTTCAAGAAGATTGAGGGAAATTGGGGAATGGACTTGTCATATTTAACTGGAAAACAAGTCTTAAGAGTCATTGTGTTTCAATTTACCGGAGGTGCTGTGACTTTGGGGGATGAAAAGCAGTTGCTGGGAAAGATCCTAATTACAATTTGAAGGACATGCCTTATTATTAAGAATCAAAGAATGATGTTTAACCCTGGTCAGATTCTGAATGCATCAGAGATAAGGATTCTGGTGGTCTGTGGTAAATAAGAAGCTCCTGTAAATTTTCTCTGTGTTAAATACAATAGCAGATAACAGACCATTTTGAAATTTTTAAATTTAATTTTATTGTTGGATTTCCTGTTAAATACATTTTTGATATACAGAAGATAGATGACGTCAAGTAGTTGCAAATAGACTTCCTGTTGGCTCCACGAGCCTCGAAGACGTTCTTTTGAGAGCGTCCATTCCCTGACTCTGTTAAAGCCCCAGAACAGCCGACAAACGCTGTCTGGAGGCTTGGAATTCTCTCCCCGGGCAAAGGGGAGAGAGAAGAGCAGGCGGGTGGAGGTAGAGCCCCCCCAAACGCCCTAGGAAAGATCCTGGGGCACGAAGGGTGCACGCTCCCTAAAAGCCTGTCAAGCCACTCCAGACCAGGGACGTCCCCGCTAATTAGCAGATTTAGAAGCCGTGACCAATTTTGCTGAATGGAAATGAGGGAATCAACATCTTGAACTAACAGCAGGCGGAACGAGCAATGAGAAATCAGACTGCAAGTATTTTTTACCTAACTCCAAAGTCTTGAGCCTCCTTCGGAAGTAACTACTTAGCACTTTGCAACAAAATGGCGATTGAAGCTTGAAAGGGCGGGGGAAACGGAAAGCTACAGGAAAAGTTTCGTTTTGGTGGCAGCCCTTTGCCTAAAAAAAAAAGCTTTTGTGTTGACAGAAGGAGGACTTTAAATGTTAATTAATATTGGGAAATCTTTTGAGAAACTTTTCTTTTTGGCTCTGATTAAATATAAAGATTAATTTTAAAGTAGAAATGGCCTCAAAGTCTGTAAAAACTGTTCCCACTAAAGGAACGGGGAGTGCTGGCAGCTCCTCAGCTCATATTTCTAGATTACAAGTTCTTGCTCCTCCAGCGGATCCACAGATTTTAACGTTGGAAATGTTACAACAAGCCCTCCAAGTCACCCAAAATAAAATTGTTGATGTGATTGATGAAAAAATTAAGGAAACTAATGAAAAAATTAAGGAAACTAATGAAAAAATACAGGCTGTGTCAGATGAGATTGCAACTCGCAATCAGAAGATTAGGGATGATATATTAATGGCATTTAAGTGTTTGGCAAGCAATATTGAAATGGTGAATGATAGAGTTGAGGAAATTAAACAATCCTCGGAAATTTTGGATGGTAAATTAGGAGAAGCCCAAAACAGAATTCAAAAGGCTGAAGATGATGTAACAATGATACAATACAGAGATATGGAATTTGCTTTAAGATTCAGAGGGGTGAAGGAGAATAAACAAGAGAACTTGAAAGAAATGATGTCAGAGGCATTAGCACCGCTGGTGTGGGAGTCAAAAAATGATCTGGGCTGGCAGATGGACAAGCTGTACCACATTAATTCCTGGGTTGCTAGACAGAAACATTTACCAAGAGACATTGTGATATACTTTACTACAAGGAGAGTACGTAATGAAATCTTACAGGCTACTTTTAAAAAGAAGCTTTGGGTGGAAGGCCAGGAAGTGATGACAATGAAAGAAATCCCCCCTAAGATCTTGAGAGCTAGAAGGGAGTATGCTTTTCTGGTGGATGAACTGAGAAAATGCCAGATACAGTACAGATAGGAGGTGCCAACTGGACTAGTGGTGACTTACTCAGGAGAGAGGCATCGGCTTAATACAATTTGGAAAGCAAGAGATTTTTATATAAATGTATTAAAGGCTGGCACACCCAAATCAACTAAATCACCAGAAGGCAAAAGAAAGAAGGAAGTAATGGAAGGTGAGACAGAAGAGCTACTGACAGTAGTTCAGGGGGGAGCTTTGGCTGATCAAGAAGAAATATTACAAATCCAAATGGCTACTCAAGAGTTGGCGCTAATTGATTTATCGCAGGAACCAAAGGATCAAAGACAAACCAGATCGGTGACAGCTAGACTCAAAGAAGAATTAAGACAGCAACAATCCCAGATGGCAACTCAAGAAATGATCCAAGATACTACTAAAACAGGAGCAGTGGGGGGAGCAAGACCTAAAACTCAAATGAGATCAGAGCATCAGGACTTGCTTCAGAGGCTCCGAAGGCCCAGAGATGGGAACTAGATTTTTGACTTGGAACGTTAACGGCTTGAATTCTCCACAGAAAAGAAGAAAAATATTTCACTATCTTAAGCAATTTAAGAACGAAGTAATTTGCTTACAAGAGACTCATATAAGAATACAAGATCAAAAATATTTGATAAATGCAAGACTTGGTACACCTTATATAGCAGCAGCACCAGAAAAGAAAAATGGAATAGTTATATATCTGAAAAGAGACTTAGTCGCTAAATTAATTGAAGCAGATGACCAAGGAAGATTTTTAGCGATAGAACTTTTAATAAAAGGAGAAAAAATACTTGTAATCGGAGTTTATGCCCCAAATCAACAACAAGAAAATTTTTATAATTTACTACACTCGAAATTGACACAGTGGGCATATAAAACTTGTATCCTGTTAGGGGACTGGAATGGTGTTTTGGACGTTAAAAAAGACAAGAAGGGACCTAAACAAAATGTGTTAACAAGAGCAAAACTGCCCAAAGCATTTTGGGAAATGATGGATGATTGGGAGTTGAGAGATATTTGGTGTGAAAAAGATTTTACTTTTTTCTCAGACAGACATCATTCCTTTTCAAGGATTGATTTTATATTAATTACTAATGATCTTTTATCTAGGGTGAAGAATACGAAGATTTGCTCAAGAACATTGACAGACCATAGTCCAGTTTGGCTGGAATTGGAGTATGGGAAAGGGCCCAGGAGGTCCTGGAGGTTAAATGATAATTTGTTTAGGTATGAAGAAAATGTAAAAGAGTGTAAAAAACTTATGAAAGAATTTTTTGTTATCAATATGCAAAAGGGCACATCTATGGAAATGGTATGGGATGCAAGTAAAGCATATATGCGAGGAATTTTGATATATTTGAATAATAAATATAGAAAGAAACAGGGGGCAAAAAGAAAAGAATTAGAAGATGAGATTAGTAAACAGGAACGGGCTTTAATAGCCAATCCAACAGATAAGAAAATCAAAGAGGCAATCAATTTATTGAAAGGTCAATTTAATATGTTAATAGCAGATCAAGTGGCAACTAATTTGCGATATGCAAAACATAATACTTTTTATAATGCCAATAAACCAGGCAGGTGGTTAGCATATTTGTTAAGGAAAAAGCAAAAATCAAGGACAATAGAGAAAATAAAATATAAGGGTAAAGAGGTTTATGAGCAACAACTGATTAAAAAATCTTTTTTAGAGTTTTATTCGAGGCTGTATACTGGTGATAAAATTAAAGATATAGATATAGACAGATATTTGCAGAAAGAGAATATTTATACAATTTCAAATGAGCAGAGGGATAGTTTAAATCAATTGATAGCTTCCGAGGAAATTGTGTTAGCAATTAAGCAGTTGAAAGTGGGTAAAGCTCCTGGGACGGATGGTCTGACAGCTATTTATTATAAAACTCTACAGGAGGAAATGGTAGAACCATTGAAAGAATTATTTAACAATATACAACAGGGAGGAGAGGTACCTCCAACTTGGAAGACAGCATTTATCTCGTTGATCCCAAAAGAAGGGCATGATGATACAGATCCTAAAAATTATAGGCTGATTTCATTATTAAATACAGACTATAAGATATTTGCTAAAATTTTGGCAAATAGATTAATGATAGTCATGCAGCAAATGATTCACCATGATCAAACTGGTTTTATAAATGGCAGACAAATGAAGAGTAATGTAAGGCAAATTGTTGAGTATCTGGGAAGGAACAACCAGGTCCCCACAGTGCTAGTGTTTTTGGATGCTGAGAAAGCCTTTGATAGATTGATTTTTTACTAAAATTTTTACTAAAATTAATAGAAAGGATGCAATTTGGAAAACAATTTGTACAGTCTATTAAGGCAATATATCAAAAACAAACAGCGCAAATAATAGTTAATGGTGGTTTAACAGATGCTTTTAACATAGAAAAAGGAACAAGGCAAGGTTGTCCCTTGTCTCCGTTATTGTTTGTTTTGACGCTGGAAATTTTATTAAACAAGATACGCGAGATGAATACAATAAAGGGAATTAAAATTAGACAGCATGAGTACAAGTTACGAGCATTTGAGGATGGCCTGGTCGTTACCTTAACCCAACCGGTACAATCGATTACAGCCTTGATGGATATAACCTGCTTATATGGACAAGTATCTGGTTTTAAAATAAATGCAGCTAAAACAAAAATAATAGCTAAAAATATGGTTAGGAGCCAAAAAGAAGAGATAGAAAGGTTAACAGGATTTGAAGTAGTTAAGAAGGTTAAATATCTGGGGGTTTATATTATGACTACAAATATGAAATTATATCAGTACAACTATGAACCATTATGGCACAAAATACAGAAAGAGTTGGACAACTGGAAAAAATTACAACTGTCTTTGCTGGGAAGGATAGCCGCTGTAAAAATGAATATTTTACCAAAATTTTTATTTCTTTTTCAAATGATACCTATACTTAAAAAAGATGAAAACTTGAAGGAATGGCAGAAGGGCATAAATAAATTTGTGCGGGCAGGGAAGAAACCACGAGTTAAACAAAAGATATTGCAAGATACTCGTGAAAGAGTTGGCCTTAAGATGCCCAATTTAAGACTGTACTATGAAGCCGCTGCCCTCTCAGCAATCACAGACTGGATAAACCTAACGGAGGAAGAGATATTGAATATTGAAGGATATGGTTTGGTATATGGCTGGCATGCTTACTTAGTGTATGACAAGAAAGTAGATAAGACTTTTAAAAGTCATATATTAAGAAATGCTCTATTGTGTGTCTGGAAAAAGTATAAATATAAATTAAATGTTAGGTTACCAATATGGACAGCACCCAGACACGCGATAGAGAACATAAATTTAGAGCAAAAGCAAGATAAGATTACATATAAGGAACTCCTCTATAATGAAGGAGTCAGATTACAATTAAAATCTATGGAGCAATTAAGAGAAGAAGGGATTATTAAGACTTGGTTTCAGTATGGATAGTTGCTGGCCAGATGGAGAGAAGACCAAAAAACTGGTATTTTGCAGCAGGATGAGAACTTGATAAAGCAAATAAGAGATAAAGGTCAAATGCATATAAAAAGGTTGTATAATGCATTAGTGGAAATAGATTCAGAAACAGATTTAGTAAAGGACTGTATGATAAAATGGGCACAAAATGTAGGTGAACCAATAACGATGGAAACATAGGAAAAGATATGGGTTAGAAATGTAAGATTTACGCAAGCACAAAATCTAAGGGAGAATTTTTACAAGATGTTTTATAGATGGCATTTAGATCCAAAAAAACTAGCTTGTATGTATCCAAACTTACAATCCAAGTGTTGGTGATGTGAGTGTAAAGATGCTACATATTTTCATATATGGTGGACATGTAAAAAAATTAAGGCTTTTTGGATAAAAATATGGTGGATTATTCAATATTTTGAAGAAAAAAATTAAATTCACACCACAGTTCTTTCTGTTGGGAATAGTTACGGATTGTACTGTAATAGAGACTAAGCTGGTTTTGAACTTAATAATGGCTGCCAGGTTACTGGTGGCACAGTATTGGAAGAAGGAAGATCCACCCACCATTGAGGAATGGACATTAAAAGTTGTGCATTTGGCAGAAATGGCAAAAATTTCATCATATCTTAAAGACTATTCAAATGAGAGGTATATATCGGAATGGAGAAGATGGATTGATTATATACAGAAGAAATATCCGAATAAGAAGATTCATATAGCTTATGAATGAAATAATTTTAAGTAGTTTATATCAGTTTTTTTTTTGTTTTTTTTGTTGAGTTATAAGGAGTTAAGGACCTAGGGAGAATATGAAATGTAATAATTTGTTAGCATATTCTAGTTTTTGGTTTGTGAATGCTATACCCTGTGCTTGTTCTGGGAAGTCTAGGGAGAGGGGTGGGGGGGAGGGAGGGGAAGGAGGGGTGGGGGTGAAAATGTTTGTATTTCTTATAAAACTTTTCAATAAAAAAAAAGTAGTTGCAAATAGATGTGTAGTTTATAACTGTGGGTCTATTTTGCAAGGGGGAAAAACTATTATTACTGAATTGTATTCAACTGGGGGGAGAATATGCATGTTTTTGTCTGTTTTTAATGCACAATTTTTTAAAAATATTTTGTGTAGGGTTTTTTTTTTGTCTTTGTAATTGTTTTATTTTCCAAAACTTGTATTTTACCTTTTTGAATAAAATAAAATTTAATAAGAGGGATATCAAGTTTCCAGAAACAATATTTATAATTTCCACACAGAGAAGGGTACATGAGTAAAAAACAGTAGAAAAATATCTCATTTTTAGCAACTAAGACTTGAGTAACAATAGAGTCTCCTATAAGAACATGAATGAGGGACTGGAAGAAAGATGAGGGATACCAAACTTAATATTTATGTTTGTGGAAATGATCTCAAAATCGTAGTTAACTGGAACAGAATCTGAGTCAGCAGGGAGATGTTCATGGAAAGAAGGCAAATGCAGCCATAAGAATCTCAGGAAGTGAATGTTGTGGTTTGGGGAGACCCCAACTCAAGGACCAGGTCCCCTTGCAGGCACCAAGCATGGAGGAGAATTTGCACAAAATCTACGTGTGAACTTCAGGGAAGGAGAAATAAGCCAAGGAAGAGATCAAAGGAGCTGCTCTTAGCCTTGAGGAAAGAGAACAAGGAGAAGAGCTGAAGATCAGGAGGAGTCTGGGAGCCCCTTTTCCAACTGACACAATCTCTCGGTTGGAGAAGGGAGGATGCAGCTCTCTTCCAAGCACTGACACAGGTTACACACGAGTGTAAGATCTGCTCACTATTATTCCAGAGTGTCAGACGTGGAAAAATGAATTCAGTTACAAGAGAGGAGATTTTAGCTGAAGGAGAAAAAAATATGATAAAAGGATGAGCTGTTTTAGAGCTGAGCCAGTGAAGCAGAGAAGTTCAGTCTCCTCTTCATGGATTATCTGAATGCAGAGACGGAGCAGCCATCAGTCAGAGAAGCTTTAACTGGGATTCCTGCAGAGAGGAGGGGTTGGGATAGATGTTCTCAGGGTCTCCTCCAAATTTATAAAGGTTGTCATGCCACAACATGTATCTATTGTGCTGTTGTTGCTGTAGCCCCACTGAGTGGCCGGGGGCAGATAAGCCTAACTGTATGGTCTGAAGCCAGACTCCCTTTTCTCTCAGCCTTTGGAGGAGACGGAAGCAGCCGGTTTGACCGAGACACATGGTCATCCGGAGGCCTCCGTCCCTCACACGGAGCATCCCTGGAGAGGTTCCAGCTGCTTCTTTGTTGGCTCTTAGTTAATGCTGCCTATCTCCTATTTATATTTCATTTTCACTCTTTTCATTTCCCCAGTTTCTCCTTTTCTCCCAATGAAAGACCCAGATCCACCCCAGGCTCCCTTTCACTGGAGGAGAAGAGGGGGGTTTGGCTGCCTGTTGAGCTGCACACAGACCCACCTGCAGTGGGGACAGAACAAAGGGACAATTCCACCATGCTCATCACAAACCCACAAATACAGGAATTCATTTCAAAAAAGAATACAGCATTTTCAAATTAGGAGTGTGTAATATAAAAATGCCATGGTATCTACTCTTTGGAGCCATTATTCCCTGAGTAATTGAATTGGCCAGATCTGTTGAGTTGGTTCCCCTCCTTCTCCTCTGGATTCCTCCTCCAAAGGATCTAAGATTAATCTATCCATATTGGGACCCCCATACCTGCCACGGCTGCAGCCTTGAAGACCTCAAACTCTTTTCTCCCTCCTTCCTTCTCCTCCTCCTCCATCTGGAGGAATAAGCGGCATTCAAGGCCTGGGCCAGAGTCTTCATGATACTGTAACATTGATACTCATTTGGGACCCAGATCCTGTTCCATTTCCATTGGGTCTCCAGTGGGGCTTTCTGGGTGCATCTTCTGCGGTCTTTGACAGAAAAAACGTTCTTTGAAAGAAAACAGAGAAAATAAAAATCTTGAAACTTTTCTTCCAGAAAGAAATTGGGTTCAAAGGCTTCATCCATTGGCCTTTCTTTTAACAGAAAACGAAAGTTCAAAACACTATGGATGTATTTGAAAAGCCTGCGATTGTTTATTGCATAACCTAGAAAATTTGTGAGGATCCAGACTTTTCCTTCAATGGGTCCTGGCAGACGCATAAATGTTAAATGGAAAGGAAGGATTCTCTCCCAAATGGAATCAAATTCCATGAAGTGAACAAAGACGTTGACTTGTCTCCACTCAGAGAGGGAATCCCTGAGGGATGCTGTATATCCAATTCTTGAAAACAGTTGTGATATAACCACACAAATTCCACTCCTGACAAGCATAGGAGGAAAAATCCTCATGAAATTCTCTCCATTTTCTGTGTCTGAAGCAAAGAGGCCAATCAGGGTCCATCTGAAATGGAGGAGCAGGTGGACAATTGCTGGGTACTGGAATCCTTCTTTGGGATTCATCCAGTGGAAAAAGGAAAATTTCCTTTTATCACTCAGAGACTCTGAAACAATGTCATGACTGATCTGAAAAAGCAATGAAGAATGCTGTGTTATATTTGGGATCAGATCAAGTCCAAAATATTAGATTTTAATAAATCCAACCTGGTTCTCCTGAATGTGTTAGAATAGTTTGTTAATCAGACATTGTTTAAAATATTAAACACAGAATATTAGCAAGATTGTATCATAATAATGGAAAATAATAAGCAAATTAAAAACAATAAAAATGTAAATCATATTACTGTATCACCCCTACAATTGATCACAATTAGATTAACACGTGCAAATGCCAACTGAAGTATTCTATTCCAACAAAGGGCCAATTATAATTTCCGAGGATTGCTGCATCTTTTTTTGCTTCTACATCCCAGATTCTTTCTGGAGGAAATTTTTTAACTTCTTTCTCCAGTTATACAAGAAACAGGCAGACCTTGTAAAGAGCCGCCTTTACAACTGAAAGGCGGCTCGAAAAACTCCATTTCCATAAGGAAATGTGAGACAGAGCAGGTGAGGGCAGGTAGAGCTCTCTGCGAAGCCCCAGAGTTTTTTTTTACTCTTGGGGACGAAGCAGATGAGGCTCCCTATTTCCCTCGCTGCCGCTCCGGGCTTCGGGAGACCTCTGCTTTTTTGCAGAGCCAGGCGACGAGAACAAGCCTTTTAAAGAAAATTAACAGATTGTTTAATCAAAGAGGATGAGATCTGGACCTGGGACCCTAAATCGCAAGTATTTTTATTGATTTTATAAATGAGATTGAAGAAACGAAAAAAGAAATTTAAAATGGCAACTGCTGAGGCTTGAGAAGGGAAAGCTGAAAGAGAAAGTCCTTCCGTCTCTTAACAAGCCACAAAGTAGCGGAATAAATACTGCTGGCTACAATTGAGAAGAAAAAGTTCTACTTTTATGTTTCCTTTTTTCTGGAGATCTGATACTGATCTTGTTTGGAAAGAAGCTTTCTTTTCTTAAAAAAGAGTTTGTCTGTGTGGAAGGATGGCGTTTAAATTAACAAAGCCAGACAAACAAGCAGCGGGGGGGATTCCCCCATTTACAAATTACGTGAATGAGTTTTAAACCTACAGACTCAGAAAAATGATTTTAACTTAATTGAATTTCTTTTGGAGGAGATGGTAAGAAGGGATGAGATTGTGAACCAGAATCTTGAAAAATTTAAGCAGGAAATTAAAGAATTGATACAATCAAAGTATGACAATTTGCAACGAAAGATTGCAACAGTGACTAAGGGTTTTTCAGAAATTGTTATAAAGTTGGATACAAATATCAAGTTATTAGAGTCTAAAATGGAGGAGGTTGATGACAAGATTTACAATTTGGATAATAAAATACAAAGAATTGAAAATGACTTGATAAATACTCAAGACAATAGCTCAGAAGAAAAATTTAAAATGGAAGTTGATCATAAGACTTGCAATGTAGAAAATATAAAACAATGGATTGAAAAAGAAGTTTGAATGATGCAACACAGGTTCACAGAATTTGCGATCAGAGTGAGAGGATTACAGGAAAATAACAGAGATGATTTAAGGAAAATATCTGCTGAAATTCTGGTTGGGATTTTAAAGGTTCATCCTGAGGAAGTATTCTGCAGGATTGATAGAGTCTACAGAGTAAATTCTTGGATTGCAAAGCAAAGGCAACTGCCTAGAGATGTGGTGATTTATTTTACAGACAAAGAAATAAGAAATAATATTGTGCAAAAATCTTTTAATTCTACTTTACAACTGTATGGAAGAAAGATTTGGATATATAAAGAGTTACCGCCCAAGATGTTAGTAGATAGAAAGAAATTTGGTTTCCTGGTGACTGAGCTTAAAAAACAAAATATTTTATTTAGGTGGGATGTTCCAGTTGGTATAATATTGAGATATCAAGGAGAAAGATATCAATTAAATACTGTTGAAAAAGCAGAAGAATTTTATTATAAGATTTTGAAAATGAGTTCAACATCTTCATGCATAATACAGGATAAGCAGAAGGAGTTGGAAATAATGGAAAAACATCGAGCTACAGAGGTCTTTGTAGATGAATCGCCTTTGGATCCTTTAGATGTCTCAGATGGACTACTTATAAATACGAGAGAAGCGGCGTTGGATTCTAATGTGAAGACTCATCAAGTCACAGACAAGCATGAAAATCAATCAGTTGATACACAACTTATAGAAAAGAAACCTGAATGGCGATCTAAGTTACAAAAGCAAAACTAACAAGATCAAGTTATAGATCAGAACGAAAATCGAACAGTTGATATACAACTCATAGAAGGGAAATCAGGGTGGAGATCAAACCCACAAGAAGTCAAGAAAAAAAAAAGAAATAGGTCTCGCAAAAATAAAAAATTTTAAACTAGGCAACAGTGAAGCCAGTTATCTAAAATATGACTGAATATATGAAAAGACAGTTGAGGCGAAGTATTGGTTAATATTATCCTGAGGAGAGTGACAGACCTCTGCAATGCCGTATTTTTGGGATGTGAAAAGGGCCTTAAACTGTTGGATTGGAATTATCTATTTTGGATTCTTTGATAAATGTATTACGTTTATGCTGAGTTATATGGCAAGAGAGCTACATTGGGGCATGCAGAAGATCTGGTTGTTACCCCATTATGATGGTTGGAATTAATAATCTTGAAGAAAGCCACTACTATAGATACTATATGGAATACAATTATAATATCACTCGGGTGGTTGTTTTCTTTTTTTATATATACATATATGAAGATATTTATTATTGATGGGGGCAGATGACAACTGAGGATTCCGAACATTCTGCTGGAATTAGGATGTGATGTTACCCTAATATGGGTGATGGAGTTAATAATCCAGTTCAAAGACATTATAGAAGACATTATATGGATTACAAGTTTAAAGTTATTGATTTTATCTATATAAGGGATATATTTTTTTTTAGCAGGGTGGGCAGAAGAATAAAGATATTAAGAATTGTTATTTTGTAGGAAAGTGGGTGGAGACAGGCTAGTTTATTGATTGTTTAGTTTAAGAAAAGGGATGTCTAAGAGATACATTTATGGGAGTGGAGGAAATGGATAGACTATGAGTTGAATAAATGTTAAATTAGGATTAATTATATAGTTTTATAGTGGAAGGCTGCTTTGAAATGTTATATTAATATACACAAAAGATTAAATATTAAATTAGGATTTATTATATAGTTTTAAAGCGGAAGGTTGTTTTGAAATGTTATATTAATATACATAAAAGGTTTGATTTAAGAGATATATGTATGGGGGAGGAGAAAAAGGGCAGATTATTGCTAAATTGAGAGTTATAATATTACTATGCTAAATCAGAAGTTATTACACAATGCTACAGTAGAATGTTATTTTGAAATGTATAGTAAAAGGGGGATATAATAATATTATTAGAAAGAAAGGGTCAGTATTTGGGGGATGGAGTAAGGGAATGGTAAAGTATTATATAATCTGTTATGAATTTGGATTTTACTTTGAAGAAGTCATAGGGGGAGGGGTGGTGAAGGGGGGTTAGGGAGGAGGGGGGAGAAAAAAGGGGGAAAAATCTGTATTTGAAAAACTTTTTCAATAAAAAAAAAAAAAGAAACAGGCAGACCTCAAAGCCTAATAAGATTTGTCAGTTGCATAATCCAAGTTTGGTCTATTATTATTATTATTATTATTATTATTATTATTATTATTATTATTATTATTATCATCATCATCATCATCATCATCATCATCATTATTTATTTATTTATTTATTTATTTATTTATTTATTATTATTTATTTATTTTAATTTTTATGCCGCCCTTCTCCCAAGGACTCAGGGCGGTGAACAGTCAGAATAACATACATATAATGTGAAATAAAAACAATTTAAAATAATTAAACCAATTTGGCTCATCAGTTAAGATCCTCAGCACAGAATTTAGACAATTTGAAAATTTATCCCAGCCCGGCTTGGTGAAACAGAAAGGTCTTCAGGGCACGACGGAAAGTACGGAGATCTGGGATCATTCATATCCCTGGGGGTAACCTGTTCCAAAGGGTAGGTGCCCCCACAGAGAAGGCTCTCCCTCTGGGAACCACCAGTCGACATTGCTTTACTGACGGCACCCTGAGGAGGCCCACTTTGTGGGAGCGTACTGGTTGGTGGGAGGTTATCGGTTGCAGAAGGTGGTCTCATAGGTACCCAGGTCCTAAGCCATGGAGCACTTTAAAGGTAAGAACCAACACCTTGAAGCGCACTCGGAAGACCACTGGGAGCCAGTG